CACAAGATTCAAGACAAGGAAAATATTCGTAAAAATATTGTATTGAAAATTTTTGGAAACTTAAATCTTGTCTTAGTCTTGAGTGAATCTTGGTAGCAAAAATCTCGTCTTGTATTGTCTCGTCTCGATTTTATTAAGAATTTTTAATACTGAAAAATTGTTTAAAAAATAATATTTAACATATATAATCTTTATAATATATAATAATTTAAGATAATTATTGCCATTGTTGTCATTCGTTTATTTTCCCAAAACTATATACATATATTAAGTTTGTATAATATTGTATAATGATCTTTTTCTTATCTAATTTACACACAAGTATATGTATATATTTTAGTTTTTTCTTTTTTTTAAAACCAATAATCTTGACAATCTTACGTTAGTCTTGGTATTATTTTAATAACTAATTAAAAAATATTGTCTTGATCTTGTCTTGAATTTCGAGACAAGACAAGTCAAGACTAGTCTTGATATCTCGTGCAACCTTAATTGGAACCGAGTGTCAGTTTTAGATTCTGCGGGAAGGAGAAAAAAGAAACGTTAATTCCGCGACATCCCGCGTAAAAGCTATCCAATCTCGACGAAATTTCAACTAATACTCTGCACCACTCACGCCTGATTCCTTATTAATGTACGCGCACGTGTCGCGAAACGCTCGGAGAACATACGCGCGAGCGCGATAAAAGTTCCATTTCCCGCGCATTAATTCCGGCAAGGAGGCCTTTTATGACGGCACACAGCCGGAGTTCAGAATTCAATGGAACTTTTCAGACAATGGCGGCCGCCGACTTGTTCGAGGGTGGTTCGGTGATGCGGAAGCAAAGCGGATGAAAAAGAGGAGGATCGAGGAAGAGGCGAGAACGACGACGGTGTCGCGGAATCTAAGACAGTGGTTCTTAAACCACCGGCGTCTCTCTCGATTCTTCAAAATACGTATCTTCTCACGCGCACACATCCTCGTAAAAATAAATATTCAAACTAAAAAACTGTTTTACAAAATAGCTGTTTTAATTTTCTACAAAAATAGTGAGATATATGATAAGAAACTTGACGCTGCTAAACTGAACATATGCTAATCTAATTAATGTATTATTTGCATTTTGAATTTTTGCAACGCCAAGTTTTTCTAATTAAAAAGTTATTTTATACTTAAATTTGTTTTTTTAATAAAAATTTTTTTTCACTTAAATATGTTCCACTATTTTAATCACATTGCAATTAAATCTACCTATATCAGCAAGACATTTTTTTGAGTGTACTATTTTGTATAAGAGTTTTTTTTATAGTATCCTCGTAAAAATAAATACAAAAGCTGTTCTCATGGAAATATGCGATAAATTCTCTTACACGCTAGATCAATCTCGATCAATATTACACAAAAATTATAACTCCAAATTTACTTAAATCGCTTCATATTATAATATCCTTATTTACTGTTATCCTTTCGCACTTTAGCAATGCAAACTTTCTCGTGATACTTGAACTTCACCATATTTTCCGGAATATTTTCTATTTACTAGTAAAATTATATTGAATAAGCTATTAAAACGGAGCAACTATTAAAAAGATTTAGGTTATCGTGAAACCTGTCGGATTTGCCTAAAATACACGCGCATCTCGAAAGGATTGAAAGTTCCAGAGCAAAAGGTTGCAGGCCTACCGGATAGAGAAGTAGGATAAAAAGCTTTGGACGAAACCATCTCCGAGCATCCAATATATGTCTGTCCCCGGCTTCGATTTTTCTCCCACTATCTAGGCCACGAAGGTTATTACACCGTGTTCTTGTATTATCGACCTATGTTCTCCGGAGAGAATTTTCATTATTACTGCCGGTTTTCTTTTTGGCACCTCGATCAGATTGTCGCCGTTCTGCTAACGTAGATCGAATGATAGAGTTTTTATCGCAGAATTTTGAGAACTGACGTCTTTCTTCGCGAAAATTTCTTTTGTCTTATAAAATCTTCTCGTAACAATCAATATTATTAAGGATATTTTGGCTGTACAATAATAGCAAAAAACTGTCAAAATTAAAAAAATAACATTTCTTACGTTTATACTGTTTGAAAAATTAAATAAATAAATCGGGATTATAAAAAAAATTAAAGTATCACAAAATAATATGGTTTTTAACGTCTTCGTAAAAGAAAATAGTTGTAATTAATATTTTTCCTAATTTATGACAAAAATTTTTGATCGTGAATACCTCCTGAAATCAACTGCAAAAAACAAAAAAAAACGAGTAATTTGCAGAAAAAAAAAAGAGAAACAGATAATATTTTTCTACAGTTTTTAGTAAATAACTTTTAAACGAGTAAATGGATCTAAATCAAGTTGTGCAAAAATATTTATTAGAGTTTTCTTAATATATGAGAAAATTTTTATTTCGTTGGCAATGTTTTTTCCTTGTCAAATTTGTCAATAAGTGCTACAATACGCAATTTTCCATAAAAATCAAACTAATTTTAAACTTAAATAATTTCCAAACCATTAGGAGAATTATGCTCAGGTTTTGCATAGATATTCAGAAGAAATAAGTCTATAAAATTTTTATGCTTTATTGCATGCTCAATGTTTCGACATATGACACATACACCCTTAATCGACTCTTATATAAAAACTGTAGTAATATCGCTTTGATTTTTTTCTCGCGCATTCAATTTTTTCCAGAAATATTTTTATAAACATTCAGTACAATTATAACCATTGTTATTAATTAGGGAATGCTGTGACTGAGATGGGAAACAAGACTGACTCTGACCGCGGAATCACAAGCAAAGGGAAAAATAAACGCAGATAAATTTCGCGCAACGAAAGCGGCGATTGGGAGGGAAAAAAAAGGATAAAAAGGGAATATATCGCGCTCTCGCGTGTACTCGGCTCGGATTTGTGTATCGATTGTGAGCGTTCCGATACGCCCGCATCCTGCCTCAACCACATATATATACATATACATACAACGGGCTCCGCTCGTCCAATACACGTGTACGCGGAAAAGTAGCAGCGTCGTTTTGTTCCATCGTGCGCGATTAGCCGATGCCCGGAGCGCCATAGTCTACAAACTGCATTTATTGGGTTTATCGGATCGGTAAGCTCGCCTGTTTGCTCGTCGGGCAAACCCAAGAAAAATGTTGCCGATACGACCGACCGGTTTTCATTACGTTACGTTCGCCGTGTTACATGCGGTCGCTTCTTTCCTCTTCGCCGGGTTTTTCGTTATTTCCTTTTCAACGCCCTCCAGAGCTCTCAATTGAGTATCCATTTGCATATTCTAATCCTCGTTCAGCGTCATCTTAATAAATTCTCTTAATAAATTCGCAGAATTTTTAATTACTGTAAAATTATACATTACATCGTCCTCGCGACGATCAACCGGATCGAAAATCTTTATGTAGCATTCGTAATTCCGCGGAAATTCAACGAGATGTGATCGTTTGAGTATCTTAATTATGCAGATTTTCGAGGTTCGCGAAAGAGAATAACGGCGGTGGGAGAAGGATGGAGGAGAGGAGTGTTATTTCATATCAGCGGGTCGCGTGTAATTGCGAGGTAATCCTATTTCATTCCGAGTCACTTCAGCCGGTTCGAGCATGAAACGCCAATATTTCCCCACAGCCGCGGGAACGAAGAAGGGAAACGCTATGGCCTCGAAAATTGCGACGGCGGTCGCTGGATTATCGGTAGCTGCAACCAGTGTCGGATCTGGCGATGCCTGATAAGGGCGAAGGCATATAACGAAAATATTATTTTTAACTAGCGAAATCATAATATATCGCGGATTTTCAGAAACGCGCGATGCGTCTTTATAAATATAACGTATTATGAAAAATTAAAAAGTATATATTTTCTTCCGATTTATATTTAATAAAATTTATATTGTTAATTATATTTATATTTAATGGTATTTTAAGTATACGGTACAATAATGTAAAAAAAAAAATAGAAAAAAATTTATTTTTGTTGCTGGTAATTGTATTCTAGAATAATGGCATATATTTTAGAATATAGCACCCAGAACTTTTATCTCCACAGTTGAAAACGCCTATGTACACCATTGAAAGGCGAACAAGGAGCTGGAACTGTGGTAAAGAAAAAACTCTTTCTCATTCTAACTTATTTTACTACTCTCGCGTGTGGAAAGCAGTCGCGGGTTTTGAACCATGGACGTCTCTCTTTTCTCTCAGATCCGTCCATAAGTTCAACCAACACTAAATATGCGCGACCGACACGAGCATTCAAAAGATGAGCATTTCAATAGCTTAAATTTCTTTATTTTGTAGGATTAATCTTTTTTCAAAAAAATTTGATGGAATTGTTATTTAAAAGTGTTTTCTCATATTAATTAATTTTAAATTTATCAAGTATTTCTTTTCTTACTAAACCCTATCTCGAATTAAAATTTGGGCAAGACAAAATTTATTTTTGATTGATTAGAGAACACAATTAATTCACGCAAAAAATTGTCTATTATATATATAAGTATTAAAACACTATAAATACGCGCTGTCATTTATAATATATAATATACAAAAAATAAATTAGATAAATAATCTTTATTTCAAAATATAATTTATCTTTATTTCATATTTGTGATAAGATAAATATTTAAGCGTTTTTTAAACGTGAAGATAAATATTTTATAACTTATTATCATTATTTTTCTCTTTTAAGCTTCTGTGTCCCGAGAGGAATTTACGTGATTTTAATAAATCAAGGAAGAAGAATATATATTACCACATTTTTCGCAAATAAATTTCATTATATTATTCTATTAAAATAAAAAAAAATCTTGATCCATTAACGTCATATGAGTTTCATTTCTTTTGAAAAATAAAAATTTTATGTGATAATACTATATTAATTTACATATAAATATTTTTTTAATAAAAATGAATAAGTTTTATTCTTCACCTAAACGTTAGATTTTATATGGGATAATAACTCATTTATTCAGCGTAAAGTTTGGACAAAATACAGTACACACACATATATACACAAATATTCAGCGCGGAATTTATATATATAATAATACATATATTAAATATTTTTCGGGGCTATAACAAATCGGTTGGTATGCGGCCTTGGATGGTGTTTACGGCGTACAGCGCGTACTAATGTTTACATCGAATTGTTGTCACTCGAATTTGGCCTTCCCTGCGTACAATACAATGTTGATATCCGCTCTCAACCTACCGTCTACCGTCAGTCGTGCGACGAGACATGAATGGGATGGAGGCTCCGTATATATCGGATTATTTCGAGAAATTCTACCTTTATTATAATCAGCTATTAACTCATAAATGTGTCGAAACGATTGTAATTACGCGAGTGATGAGTGTCGTAATCATGTGCGAAAAAGAAGTAGTAATGGATAAAACATAAAGTGGAAAAGAAGACCCAATGACTTATCAAGTGACTGCGGAGCAACTTCGAAGTAAGCAATATTTATAATTAATTTAATTTATTATTCATTACTCGAGATTAATTGATGGTTTTTTCCACTCTTAAGAAAGGCATATTAAGTTGATACCCCAATGTATGAAACGTCATTGCCACTTTCCGCCACATCGATTGATTCATTCACTGTGTTTATGTTGGTCATGGTCAGCTGTTATCGCTGAGATTGCGTAATTAATTCGAAGAGAGTGACAATATAAATATATATTTTAATTAGTATGTGAATATATATTTTAATGACAGTATATATATACATACATATATCGCATTAAAAAAAATTATATATATATCGCATTAAAAAAAATTATATATATATATAAAATTTTTTTTAATGCGAGTTTAATATATTAATTTTAAAGAATGAAAAAAAAATCATAAGACATTCTTCTCGAGTTTATAAGATGTTGAACGGCCGTTATTGCAGAAATTGCGTATCGATTTAACACGCCTTTTTTTCTTATATAAGTATCTGACAAAATTTCAGAATTATTAATAATTACATAAAGAAAAAAGATACGTTTAGAATATTTAGAGTAATAAGTGATATAAAACGAGTTTATTTTAAAAGCACACATGTGAACATAATATATCCAAGACTTTCTCATTCTTTTTCTGCGGGAAATATCAAAATGACAGTTCGATATCTCTCTTCATCGCATTTCATATTCGTTTATATTATGATAAATCGTGATCAAAATCGAATGATAGTCATCTGCGGACTAAAGACATGCCTCACACACACGTATGTTCGAATAGACAGCATCACCGACACAATTGCATACAGATGCACGATCGTGCGCGCGATATCGGGAATGCATCTTGCGGATATGTCATTAGTAGCGTATCCTTCGCAGAATCCTTCAGAGGCAACTCTCGTAGGAGGGGGGAGAGGATCGTAGAATATATATCGAATTTATCATTCAGGCAAGACGCAAGGGAGGAAAAGGATGTTCTATAGCGCAGCTACTGCCATTTCGCGAGAGTGAATTTTTCCTATACGTCTGCCTCTTTTTTCTTCTCTTCTCCTTTTCCCTCTCCTCCTCTTTCGTCGCCGGAAAATGGCATTACCGTTATTCGATTTGTTTCTTCACACATACCTTGATAACTCTCCGGACCAGAAACGCCGCGAGATATTTCGTAAGCGCGAGTGCTATGAATACAGACAAGGACCGATCGAAATGCGTGCCTCGAATCGGACGATATCTCATTTATTATTCGTTTGCGCTAAAATTACATCGGAAACGTTAGACATGATAGTCATTGCTATCTATTGCGAGCATTTTATAGAAACGGCAAGAACGTTTAATTGAGGTGACCCGAGTTTTAATAACTTAGATTTCTCGAAAACGATCCTTTGAAATTATTCATATTTCTATACGAAATTATTTCGGATCTTTCCAAATTATTTATATACGAATTTTTATTTATATACGAATTTATTACGAATTTTTAATATTTAAACTTGTCAAACATACGTAATAATTTTTTTATTTTTTGGTAGTTATTAATAAATTCTATAAAATTATTTTAAATTGTCAGTAGCATGAGTACTAGTAGTAAATCTCGAAAATTTCCAAATTATTTCACGCAATAATAAAAATTTGTTTACAATACCATCTTTAAGTGGAAGAAAAAAGGATTAATGAGATCGAGTAGTTACTAGACTTTCGAAACTCGCACATAAAATTGAGTTTGTCTTTGATTAATAGCCAGTCACTAACATACCAAGCGCAACGTTTTACGAGACCACATTAGAGGTACAATGTTATTAATAACGCTATTCTCATTATGGTTGGCCGCAACTATAAATTCGAGTCCGTCTCCTTGTCCATTAATTAAGTACGAAGAAACTTGCAAGAGGATAAGAGAAATGGGAAAACAAATGAGAAAGGTTAGTCGATAAGCGATGGCCTCCGACCGGCCGAAGGCCCTGGGCATTTCGAGCCCTCAGGAACTGCGAATCGAATGGAATGCCGTGATAAATTTCGCGGCGATCGGTGCAAAAGTGAACCGCAAGCATTACGACTTTAAGCTCGCCCTGATCGCTGAGCTTTCGACCCTTGTCGGGATGAGAAACGTTGAATTGGACCTATAGAAGATTTTGTAGGGCTTGATAAAAAAATCGAGAACGTCTGATTTCTATGACTTCTAAAGGTGTAAGTCCTCGCTAAGGGTTGTAGGCGTAGATATATTTTTTAAAATATAGGATTTAGAATAAAGAATTGAAAGTTTCTCATTTATTTTAGACGACTATTTTAGAGTTATATTTTTTTGCCTCCTCATAGAGGAAGCTTTGTTTTCGTGACAAAATTATTTTTCCAGTTTTTTATGTCAATAGAAATGTGTTTAGAATGTCCCAAAATGTCGATAAATCATGTTTTTTAAAAATGTCCGTGTATATGTGTGTATGTATGTATGTATGTACGGACAACCTCTAACTTTCGCAATTTTTGAGATATCGGATTAATTTTTTTTAAATGAATAGAGTATCGTTAAAGGATAGTTGGTATCGAATTTGGTGAGAATTGATGAAAGGGTTCATCTTTTATAAAATTTTGAATTTTTTGATAACAACTTTCGCAATTTTTGAGATATCGGATTAATTTTTTTTTAAATGAATAGAGTATCGTTAAAGGATGGTTGGTATCGAATTTGGTAAGAATTGATGAAAGGGTTCATCTTTTATAAAATTTTGAATTTTTTGATAAATGTCTGTACACGCTGTAACTTTTGCAAATTTTTAGATATCAGGTTAAATTTTTTTATATAAATAGAGTATCATTAAAGAATGGTTGATATAGATTTGGTGAAGATCGGTGAAAGGGTTCATTTTTTATAAAATTTTGAATTTTTTGAGAAATGTCTGTCCACGCTATAACTTTCGCAAATTTTGAGATATCTTCCTCTATGAGCAAGCCAAAATTGAAAAACCTGCTTGCTTTAAGAAGCATAAGTTTCGTGAGCGAAATAAAATGATGCAGAAGCAATACGCAAGTTTCTAATTTGCATAATTTTCATCTTGTTTAATTCGGAAGCGAGATATTTATTTTCATGAGCAAAATTCAATTTGTTATAAAAGAATTTTTAATCGTTAATGGAATTGCATCCTTATTATTTGCCTCTAAAAGTAATTTTTGATATCTACGTATGTTGAAAATAAATATGAAATTTTGAGAAATATGTAATCCGTATGAAGTAAATTGAGTTCTCTCTGTAAATGCATGTTCTCTCACCAAGCCCGATTTAATTCACGAAGGTTTAATCTAACCGACATAGACACGAAAACCATAGCCGCATTGTCTCTTCGCGTGTGTGCTAGTCCATTATTTATCAAGAAACGTATTCTCGCGAGAACGAAGCCGAGGCGAATAGGTAGGTAGGTAAATCTCCCGCGACGAAGCGCATCAGCGAGAGCATCGTTCTCCTCTCGGTAGAATGAATGTTTCAGGAACGTAGAGTTCGAGGCACGAGGGTTTAAGTAAACTGCAGCGTTTACTCCCGTCGGGATGGATGACCGCGTCTGCGTAATCGAGGCCGTTAGACGAAAAACCAATCGCCGTCCGGATTGTCTCGTCAGAAAAACGCGAAATGGACTCGCGTCCAGTGGACATTGAAAAGCCATTTCTGCCGTCCATCAGGCCATCATTTGTTGGCCCTCCTCCCTCTTTCTCCTTCTCCTCTTCTTGTCGCTACTCCGAGATCCGGGGGGACGCTTAACCCTCGCAACTCGCTCGTCCGTGAAGAAAACGCTTGAGAAATATATGAGCCGCTGGGATGGACAGGCCATATACAGAGTCTCGGATGCGATCCTAGCAATCCTAGTATCGGGAGGATAAGATCGAATCTCTTATACGAAAGAGCTCAAGTGGCCGTCCGTTCTCGAGAAAGGTCTATTTCTTCCGTGACTACGTAGTTTTATTTAATCGGCTGATTTTATCGCTCGTTGATAATCTATATATTTATTTTTTGTCAATATTTCCTGCAATATAATATATAAAAAGATTTAAAATATAGGGTGATATTTTATATTATATGTACGCGTGCATATTCGTGATAAGATAAAAACGACTTTGAGATTTTTTCGTTCAGAATGTGCAGAGGCAAGTTTTCGCTAAGTTCTCTAAGATACATTCAATTTACATTGCACTTAATAAATTTTTTGTTTCTTTTAATCATGTTAAGATTGTAATTATGATCGCATTATCATATTGATTTAATTCATTAGTTATATGGCTTGCAAAAGCAGTCTAAATTAAAACACTTCTGGTTAGTAATTTCCTATTCCTTCCGAGATTACAGACCTATCTGTGGCGTAGACAAGTAGACAATATTTAGTCAATCCGAGTCACTACTAACGAACGTTAGTGTAATCAACTCCTAGAAAGCGCCCTTAATTAACTAGGACTGTGACATTCGAAACGCGGCTTAATTCCCTTAAGTTTGCTGGACCCACAATCAGATATCCTGATCCAAGTACTTCTAGCGTACACATTTATGTTTATTTAACAAGAAATATATTTTAACAAAAAAAAATACATGTTATAAATATACAATACATATTCATTAAATTGTTTTCTTGATCTTACATAAATATCGAGCGAGAACGAGTTCAATTTTCATGTATGCTTCACGCGCAGAAAGTCGCGAAGAAGATGAAAGTCATCTCGATAGAATATCTCATATACTGACGGAATGAAACGCAATATGATGTGATTCTCTCGATGGACACACGTGTATCACTGGTGTGCGAAAGAAGTCCGTCCCGATCGCGAATAAAGGCGCTCCTAGAAAGTAGAAAAGACTTCTTTGAAGTCGATCAATCCCCCGCTCGCTCTCGAGAAACGTCGTGCGTATCGAGAGAGCCGTTCAGGCGGAACGTCAAAGGCTAAAGGGGAATGTAAAAAAGTCTTTAATCAACGATTCGTTTTTTCGTCGCTCGTTGATTTGTCAGAACTTCGCAGCCATTTCATCTCGAGT